GAGATGAACAAGAAGCGTGAGGCAGAGTTCCAGAAGATGCGCCGTGACCTGGAAGAGGCCACGCTGCAGCACGAAGCCACGGCTGCCGCCCTGCGCAAGAAGCACGCGGACAGCACAGCTGAGCTGGGCGAGCAGATCGACAACCTGCAACGCGTGAAGCAGAAGCTAGAAAAGGAGAAGAGTGAGATGAAGATGGAGATTGATGACTTGGCCAGCAACATGGAGTCTGTCTCCAAAGCCAAGGTAGGGAAAAATATAAAAAAAATATGAATATAAATAATGTTGAAGTATATCCTTTAAAATTATGGACAGATTACCAACTAACTCATGTCTGTGTATGGAACTTGTCTCTAACCTTCTAACTCCAAGAAAAAGTCTATAACTTGCAAGTTGTTTCACTTTTCTCTGGTTAGAATCCTGCTGTTCATAAGAAGGCATCTAGATACTAATCTTCTTTCATTCTCTGTGGTCTCCACAGGCCAACCTGGAGAAGATGTGCCGCACTCTGGAAGATCAGCTGAGTGAGATTAAGACCAAGGAAGAGGAGCATCAGCGCATGATCAATGACCTCAATGCTCAAAGAGCTCGTCTGCAGACAGAAGCAGGTTAGAGAGACTCCATTATGTTTTTGCATGACTCCTAAACCAGCTTCTTTGGGTCATAAATTACAATTAGAATATTTTCTTATATGTTTGCTTCCCCAGGTGAATTTTCACGCCAGGTAGATGAGAAAGATGCTCTGATTTCTCAGCTGTCAAGAGGCAAACAGGCTTTCACCCAACAGATTGAGGAACTGAAGAGGCATCTAGAGGAAGAAATTAAGGTTATTCCTGATTTCTTAGCACTGACCATTGACTATGCCTGTAGCTTTACATAGCCTAGTGGGGACAGGATCTGCTTAGCGCAAGCCATCCTGGGGGATAGTTTTTCTTTGTGCAATAGGTTTGATTAATAGATTTTTGTCACCAGTCTTACATCTGTTCTTCATTGCAAACATTCCTCCAGCAGTCATGTTTGTAGTGTGAAGTTAATTCATTGGAAGAGATTTCACGAGGTATTACCACTCCTTGATGCAACCCAACTCTCCATCTAGGCCAAGAATGCCCTGGCCCATGCCCTGCAGTCTGCTCGCCATGACTGTGACTTGCTCCGGGAACAATATGAGGAGGAGCAGGAGGCCAAGGGGGAGCTGCAGCGAGCCCTGTCCAAGGCCAACAGTGAAGTGGCCCAGTGGAGAACCAAATACGAGACGGACGCGATTCAGCGCACGGAGGAGCTCGAGGAGGCCAAGTACGTGGGGAAGCAGAATGGGAAATAACGAGAGAAGACTGAAACTGGTCTTGGGAAATTGGAATCTCTGAGAGTGGGCTAAGTCAAGAATGGGATGAAGGCAATAATATAGATTTGTAAAAAAAAAGGAGAGAGAGGAAGGCAGAGAAAAAATGGAGATAGGAAGGGAAAACATAGGCTTTAGGACTAGAAGTGCTAAGACAGGCCTAATAGGTGATAGGACACAGCAAAGTATGGATCCTTATATATCTGTGAAAAGTGCGCAGTTCAAAACCCTTAACGTGACCAGCTAACCTCTCATGACAGTATAGAACTGATGTCTTTCCAAGCTCTGATGTGCAACTGTGCTTGTCGCCTCCCAGGAAGAAGCTGGCCCAGCGCCTGCAGGATGCAGAGGAGCATGTTGAGGCTGTCAATGCCAAATGTGCCTCCCTGGAAAAGACAAAGCAGAGGCTGCAGAATGAAGTGGAGGACCTGATGATTGATGTGGAGAGATCCAATGCTGCCTGTGCTGCTCTGGATAAGAAGCAGAAGAA